TATTTTATTTTCCCAAAAAGCATCTCATAAAAAAAGCAAGTTAAATACAGTTATGGCTGATATATTTATAACACAACTATTAAGATCATGGTACTTATATTGATCCGGAAAATTCTCTTTCTTATTAACAGATTTTTGTTTGTTTTCCATCGTCCTCTTCTACTGACAATAGCCAAAGCAAATAAGAGTGGAGAACATGCCATTTATTTTTAAATCATATCATGGAAGCGAGGGAAAAGTGACAATGTATTCCTAGCATCATTCGTGTTGTTTTTCAATAGATAAATGTTTTATATGAGCACCTTCAATAAGACTGAATGAAGTGTCCAGATGGTAAAGGACCTCACTGGGTTCCTTTTTCCAGATACTCCAAACTGGGTGCATCTAATCTCTGTTCGTGGTTTTTGTTTTTTGTGAATTCCTTCAACATTTCCATAACTTCTCCTTGGTAGACTTCCGGTGTGGGCTGAGCTTCTGTAAAAACAACAAAAAAAGGAAATGGCAAATTGAGTAACATATAACACTGTGTTAACATAATTTAGATAACTTTAATTTTAAATAGCAGAAGAACAATAGGGACTAAAAAAAAGAGCTCTTTTAAAATGACCATGATTATTTTACATCAGAAATAGGACTGGTTGTGTGAGCTATTTAAGAAAGACAATACAACAGTGAGCAAAATTTTGGTAGCTGGAACGGGTAACATCCAGGAGATTATTGTCGAGCTACTTAGTTATTTTATTTAGTAAGGTCAGTGTTTAAGCCTCCAGACCTGATTCCCTAAAAAAATAAAATGTTGAGAGGATTCTCACAATATGTTTCGTTGTTTGGCTGTACTGCTCAACCACAGGCCCTTACTAAGGCTATAACAACTATCTATATCGACATATTGATTTTATGACTAAGGATATCGATGTACATTTTTTTTTACTTCAAAAGCTCAACTTTTGATATAGATGTGAATGAGATGGGCAAATGATATCCCATCACACGGGTCACAGATTTGTTCATTGAATTCATTAAAATCTTACAAGGTCAGATCTTATCAGGAAACATCATATGGTTATCCTAACAAATCGATATAAGATTGTATCATGAAAAACATCAGTGATTTAAACCTCTACTAGTGACATTTCCTCATTGAGATTTAAGTATCGCAATTAACCTTTAGGATAGGAAAAAATTATAATGAAGTATCGTTACTTTTATAACAGTACATTTTCCAGCTACTCTACTGACACAAAGTAACTTCACTAAGTGAAGAATTAGCTAGCTTTTAACCAAAAAACAACACACACATGAAATAATTTATGTTAAAATTAATATTTTAAAATACAAATATTTATACTTAAATTATATAAGTCACATTATAGGTTGATGTTTTCATGTCAATTTTCATCTGCGGATTCTACAAAGACAAATGAAGACCAAGAAAATATTCAGCTAACAGCAGATGCTGGCCTTTGGAAAAAGAAAAAAGAAAAACTACTGAAAAATAAAAGGTACAATAGAAAACTTAACTTATTTGTAAACTTTATTCTACCCACAGAATCCTATTGAATTTTCCATCTCTTTAGTAAAGGCATTCTGGCCAAGACTGATCCATAGTTTCATAAAAAAAAAAAAAAAAAACAACACCAAGTGTTCTAAGCAGAAAGCCTGAATATGAAAAGTTAACAGAATGCTTAAGTTGCAATATTCTGCTCATTATCTTTGCTGGTCCTAGAACGGCACTCTTCTGGACCGAGATTTCTGATGGATTTCCAGGAATCTGCTGCAACCTCTCCTCACGTTTGGGGGTCACTGCCCCGAGTGCCCCAATGACCTTCCAGGTTTTCTCCAGCTCTTCTCTGAGCCCCTGGTATTTCTCTAGTTTTTCATGTTCTTTTTTTCCTGATGTTGCAGTCACTTGGTATTGCTATGTCAACCACAACGGCTTTCCTCTGCTTTTTGTCCACCACAATGTCCGGTTTGTTTGCCATTACCATTTGGTCTGTCTGTATCTGGAGGTCCCACAGGATCTTGGCTCGGTCATTCTCTATCGTCTTTGGAAGTGTTTCCCACTTTGACCTTTGGGTTTCCAGCCCATACTCTGCACAGATGTTCCTGTACACTATTCTAGCCACTTGAATATGGCGCTCCATGTAAGCTTTCCCTGCTAGGATCTTACACCCTGCAGTTATGTGCTGGATTGTCTAAGGAGCCCCTCTGCACAGTCTGCACCTGGGGTGCAATTTTCAAACAATGATTTTGAGTAAGTGCCTTTTACACTTAAATTGTTATTTTCATAGTAGTAGTGGTTTGTGCAAATGGTATTACTCAGAAATAATGGTAGCGGTGATGTTCCTTTACACATTTTATATAGAATTATACCTTGCAATAATAATACCTAAATATGGTTTCCAGTTTTGCAGGCTAGTTTTTATCTAACAGTACTCACAGATGTTGACTTTCTAACCTTAGCTGATGACGTGTTTTAGAGTGATTTTAAGACCAGAACAGGGTGTATTGACAACATTTTAATTTTCATTTAGAGGTGGTAGAGGAAAGCTATGACTTTTTGAGACTTATTTGGAAATGTTTACTCTGGGGAAAAACAAAAACAAATGAGTCACACAAAAAAAAAAAAATAATAATTTTCTCACCCGTGGCCCAGTAGTAGATATCCCAGTCATTGCTTGGTTCATTGATCAGCCTGTCATACTGCTGCAACTGGCTATCAGTCATCGTATTCAGGTATCGCTTTGCAAAAAGGCTGCAAGAGGCACAAGGAACTCAATAAACTCAGCAATTTCTTCACAAAGAAAGTGTCACAGCAAAAATTACAGCAACACCAAATCATAAATTGACAAACACATCTGTTCTGATACTTTTGAATATCTGGTTCAAATGATTCAATTTGGTTGTTAAACAAATACCAAAGGCTTCTATTTGACTACAGTTATTTTGATAGCAGATCATTTCTGAAAACTGGTAAGCACTGATTACAGACAGGCACAAAACAACAAAAATTTTGCTGTTTTTTGGTTTCCCATATCCGATTTTAAAATCTATCACCAAAGAATTGATTTTAGATTGTTTTACACAAGGTTTCCTGTTAGACAGACCAATCTGAATACAGCTAGCTTGAAAAATATCAATGTTTAGATACTGCAGTAGACAAGCAACTTTAAAAGAAGTAAAATTGAGCCAAACAGAGAATACAAGAAAAAGATAACAACCTAAGTAGTATGCAGTTCTCCAACATCCCCCTCTTGCGACTCTCATAGAGGAGCCGTCGCCTCTTGATGTCAATGGGCTCATCTGTCTTCTCAACCCAGGGGGGTAGGGGGATCTCTAGCAGGTCTGCTTTGTTGTCATCAGGAGCATCTCCTTTGTAACCTCGAGATGTGACCATCCCTGTTAAGGCTGGTCTCCAAACTGATTGGCACATCCCTGTTACCACCTGACAGGAAACAAAAGCCATTTAAGTCGTTTTTCTCGTCACCCTCGAAATAGGACAAGTTGTCGATTTAAAGCTTTCTGTTTTATGTTGCAAAACAAGAGGAGATGATATACTTAAACAATTGAAGTCCAAGGAAATTATAATAATGACATTGTTATTTAGTAATAACCCTTCGGTCGATTCCCATGTGCTGCAGTGCGAGGTCCAACTAGATCCTACTTTTTTTTTTTTTTTCAGCTTCTCTTCATTGGCTTTATGTAAATCCATAACAGAATAAATTCATAAAAAAGTTTAAATTACGTTTTTCTTAGAAATAAACCTCTGATAAATACATCTCCATTTTATATTAAAGAACTAATTTTATTCTTTATATGTTTATATGTAGAGCACTACAATAATGGCTGTGTTGTTTTTTTTTCTGTGGAACCCACCTCTGCTTTTTGTTTCTTAATTTTTGGTTTTTGATTAAACATCAAGTTAGAATGACTTGGTTACTTTGAGCTAATTCTGTAGATATACATCCCTAAGCTTGAGCTGCTTTGTCTGGAGAAGGAATTTCCATTGGTGTATTACTTTATCAATTTTTAAAGGTTTCCTTTTAAAAATATCTTTTTTTGTTTGGTGTTGTTTTTTTTGTGTGTTTTTTTTAAGCAAACCTATCACTAATGGTTAGAGTTAACAAGTACATAAATGTAATTGGTGAGACAGAAAAGTATGCAGAGGATGTGGTTGGATAAATGCCAAATCGCATAGAAGAACAGTCTTTGACTTAAACTGAACTCTGTTTTATACACACTCACAATATAGATCACAACAACTCCCAAATGTTCAAAGGCGTTTCAAAAGCAACACCTATATCTTATTATCTGTCACGGTTTGTTTTGAATCAAGGGAGAGCGAACATTTAAATCCCAAAAAGCAGGTGAGAATTGTGTAACATCACCATCTGTCCTGTTGTACAACAGTCCCCTAACAGAAGAACGTACCATGAAAATTAAAAATAGCGACAAGATTTAAGTTGCGGTATTGGGAAACTGGACTCGTGTTTTGATATAGAAGTTTTGGTGTTAGTTTTTCTTTTACATAAAATTAGACTCAAATCTATTGGGTAACCTTAGCAAAGCAAAGGGTCTGTGATATCAGAGGTCACATTTCGACGAACACATAAGTAAACAGTTATTAAAAGGATAACTTACTCTTTTTGCAACAAGTGAAGCCAACATTTTAAGATTCTTTCTTGACGACCTAGATAAAACACCGTCCTTCGCCGCTGTGCAAATGTTTCTGCCTAGTGTTCAACAAAAATTACACAAGCAAGCGGGTTCACGTCACTGCGTGCCCGCCTAACGAATGGGCCGACTAGATACACGAACAGAACATGTGTGGTTGTTGATAGGGAACAAACTAAAAAACACGTCTTAGTATTATCTAAATTAAATAGTGGAGTAAATACTCCACAAAATATTTGATCTGTTTCCTTTCTTTATGCCAATTTATAGTTTCAACGTAAGTAAACAAGGGTAGAATTTAAGAAGTAGGAACCATATTATATATTTTGTTTGCAACCGGTAGCTTTCCGGTACGGGCTCCTGTTTTCATCGATTAAAAAAATTAGCATTAGCAGCCCAAGCGAGCATGCTATAGCTTAAATTCAAATACGTTTGCGTTGGCAGACGAACGGTTAATCTGTGACTCTTCAAACTGGGTGATAGTTTTCTCTTTTTTGTGTGTATAATATAGCTAGGCTTGTGTTGTCACAAACCCTGAACGGAGTGTTAGCTACCGTTAGCTAGCAACGTTAATGCCACAATAAGTTATTTAGTAAACGGGGAGGGGGGCTGTTGGTGAAATTAGTCGTTAGTTCCACCCTGTGTAACGATGCGGACGGAACCAGTTTGAAGAAAAAAAAAGAAAAAAAACGGCTACAGTTTACAAAGGGGCTAAGGTTAGGATAGTAGGTTGTATCGGAGGCCAACTGTCGGGATGGCTGCTGCACAACCTGCAAAAGGACCGAGCACTTCGAAAAGTGAAAACGTCGATCTGTACAGTGACCTGTATCCAAGCGATGAGGTAAGTCTGGCTACAACATTTATCAGTCTATTAGTGCTGTGATGCATGCTTTACACCAGGAAACTTTAAGCGCATTTCCTCGACAAGTATCTGACTCCCCCATACGTTCATAAAAATTTTAATAAGCTGATTCGCGTTCATTGGCACAGAAAAACGTTTTTCATTTGATTACCTTATATATTTAATTCATATTTCATACCCAGTTTTATATTAACCCTGTTAGATGGAACCTGGCCGCAGCTGTTGCGCACATCTGATCCAGATATTGGTGCCCAAGGTCTTAAAGGTTATGAAAGCTAATGAAAGCATAGTAATTACAAAAGAACGAGGGCACTTATTAAACTCATGCACATATTTTTTTTATATATGTTATCTGACATATAGCTTCAGTTTCTTTGAAGTGCTGTTCTTCCATATTTGTAGGTGCTGGCATGGCAGTTTTAGTGGTACAGATTATGTGCAGTATCTGATAGAGAAGACAACACTGCATGGGATTTATTTGTTACATTTCTCTCCGTAGGATTTGGATAAAGTTACTGAAGCGAATGAACTCTTTGATGCAGTCTTAACTGGGACTGTTGACGAAGACAAAAAAGTTTCTAGTAAACCAGTTTCCACCAAAAAGGCTTTTGGAGAAGAAGATGATATAAATGATAAGACAGCACAAAACGAAGGAAAACGAGCGAGAAACCTGTCTATATATGTTGGGAATTTTCCCTGGGTAAGTAGAATCCTCTCTGCATTCAAGCTGATAGAACTGATGAAAAGAAAGCATCTTTTATTTTGTTTTAAAAGGCTAAAAGAGTGCAGCTTATTATTTCTGTATATGTATATATGTATGTATATATATATATATATATATATATATATATATATATATATATATATATATATATATATATATACTGATAATTTCTGTATGCAACCTATAGTCACCAGTTGGATGTTTTTTTGCTATCGAGCGTTTAAAAAGAAAAACAACAGATTTTGACCAGTGTTTCAAAGTTTCTCCAAAAACAATAAAACATTAGGTTAGAAATAAGGTTAATGATAGATAAGATCTCGAATCAATTTAGTGAGTCTAATCAAAGTGTATATGGGTGAGCTTCCTTAACAAATATTTAAATAGATCTGTGTTCTGAACTCTGCAGACATATGTAGATAAGACATTACAAAGTGTTGATTAAAATATTGAGAAAATAAAAAAAAATATATATATATATTTGGAATAATTGTGTTAATGTACATAAATGCAGCTAAAGGTTTACTCTGTCTTGTATTATTTTATTGTCAGTTATCCTTTCTTTATAGAATAGTGTAAAATTTCCCCTACAAATTGTCAGAAATTACTTTATCCGTTCTGTCCTCCCATCTCCTCCTCCTTGCAGTGGACATCCGACCACGACCTCAAAAGCCTGGCCCAAAAACTGGGTGTTAAAGACATTGCAGACATCAAATTTGCTGAAAACAAAGCTAATGGCCAGTCAAGAGGGTGAATGTTTAAAAAAATGTACTTTATAAATTATAGAGAAAACATAACAAACGTATTTATGTAAGCTTATGTGAACATATATTTTTCTGATGCAGCATTGACCAACTTGCTGTTTCCTGTGTTACAGCTATGCAGAAGTGGTGGTAGCTTCAGAACAGTCATTAAAAATATTGCTAGAAAAAATGCCACAGTTTTGCATTAATGGGGAAAAGATACAATGTCGCTTTGCAACTCAGCAGAATCTTTCGGTGTTTGAAGGCATTGCAAATAAACGTAAGTTACGCAGGAGCTTAAGAAACACCAAATAATGTATACATAATGCCAGTATGACTTGATTTTGACAGAATATTGTTTTTCGCAGGTATACCCCTACGTGCTCGACTGGGTTCTAGGGATTCCGATTTTGTTGAGAAGACTCAAACGACAACGCCTTCACAAGAAATGAGTGCTCTTCCTTTTCCTCCGCCACTTTTCCCATCACACCCATTCGCAAACATGTTTCCCTCACCTCCCACTCCTTTTCTCGGGCAGCCACCTCCACTGTTCCCACACATGGCACCAATGGTTCCTCCCCTAATCCCACCTCCTGTTTTCCCTCCCCATCCTGGGCAAATCCCTGGTCATTCTCCTCCAGAGCTGCACATAAACCCGCCTTTCTTCAACCTGCCGCAAGACGGGCAGAACAGCATGTCACACACCGAAAAAAAGTGAGTGAGCGCACTTTACCTGCTAATATCCAATGTCACAGAAAATATTCAAGGCCTAAATTATCATACAACAGTGTAAAGAACACCATAAAGTATAGTATAACGTTTAGTTCAATTTTGTGAATAAAGTTCAGTCTAAAACTCGCAACATTGTTTTGGTTTTTCCAGGCAAACATCTTACAGTGAAAATGGAGACTATGAGGAGCAGATGAACAGAAACAGAGCAATTGCCAGCAGTGCAATAACTAAGGCTGTTTCAGGAGCTGCATCTGGTAAGAAAAGATTATCCGATTTAGAAAGAAATGCAAAAATAACTTGAAACTTTATTTGAAAAAATGTATGAGTACATAGCAAACTGCAAATGTTATTTCAGTTTGAAACTCCTTTTTTTGGTAGTGAAATCATTTTTGGAAGGATGTGAATTTTAAAGTTATAGTGGAGGATGTTCTTTTTCCAGGTAGATCATCAAAATAAGTGGTCCTCCTAATTGTCAATCATTCTGGTGATATGTTTACGTAGGGCCTATGTGCTCGTCCCCATTTTCCCTTACTGGTGATGAGTCTGACATAGTGGAAAAGTTGCAAATCTTGTTTTGGAAAGTAAGCTTGTATGAGCGATGCAAACAACTTTTAAACAGAGAGTGCACAAGGGGAAATGGGCTTGTGCGGGCTCTCACTTGCGTTTAATAGGCGTTACCTCTTGAGAAGGGGTAAAAGGGTTGTCCATGTGCATTTTGATATTTAAAGCAGAGAGTGCGGGTCTTCAAAAATGTATGAACATCTTCCACTATACCTTTAAGGTTAAAGCTATAGAGGACAAACTTTTATTTCCAGGTGGATCATCTAAATTAGTGGTGCTATATTGAGGGGAACATTTTTCCACTTTCAATTCCAAATAGTTTTAAGTTTGTTTATTTATGTAGCTATCGCAACGACTATTATCTGAAGCCACTTTACAAAAAACAGAAATTGTTGATTCTGTCCAGTCATGAAGACTGACTCGGATTCAAATATATTCTTATGTTACATCCTAGTAACCAAACAGTATCATTCAAATTAACGCTATTTTATTAATCATAAACCCTCTTCATATCATTGCAGGAGACGTGCATATGGCCATGGAAACGCTAATAACTGCTATTTCCATCATCAAGGAGTCCAGAGTGTATGAAGATGAATACTGTCAAGCTCTTGTCACCTCCCTTAAAGACTGTTTGTTTTCAATCCAAGGGGACTATAGCCCCAAGTCTGTATTTATATTTGTTGTTCTTCCCTATTCAATAACATCTGTTTTGTCCTCCCAATCTTTAGCAACCATTCTATTTCATTTTCCAGGCAAAGCCGACATTCCAGAGAAAAAGACCGCGACAGGGGGCGTGACAGAGACCACGAGCGAGAGAGAGACTACGAGCGTGACAGAGAACGTGACAGAGAGCGTGCCAGGGAGAGGTACAGGGAACGAGATGATGCATATGACAGGAAAAGTGTTGGAGGATCTCGAAGATACAGGGAGCGTACCAGCAGTGAAGAGAGGGACAGGGAGCGCTCGAGAGACCGAGAGCGACACAGAAATCACAGGGACAGATACCACTAAGTCGGTAAGTTTCTCACAATTTAACAACCTACTGGATACATTGGTTGGATTTTTTTCTTGTGTACTGTAGGTTGGACTGTACTTAATGGAGCAATAAATAATATGATGGATAATATTTCAAATTGAAACAACATATAGCACACATACCTCAGCTTTAGTTCTGCTCTTTGCCGAGGGCCTGTACTAAAAGGGAAAGCTGCTGTTAAAGTCGAAAATCATATTTAAATGTGAAATCATTCTTGTTAAAACATGAATATAAATGTACTCTTTATCAGACGATATTGTCCCAAAATTTAGAAAATTTCTATAAAAAAAAAAAAAATCCTGTCTTCAAATCTGTGTTTTTTCCGTTATTTATGTCAGCTTGTACACTTAAATTCGGCCAATAACATATATCAACAGTCATCTGTCAATCAAATTTTTTCGGTCATAGGATCTGATTCATATTTCGCAGGTAATATACCCAACGGTTGAAATAGAGTTCACGGGGATGGACGTCTGTGTGTTCGGCAGGCGTAGAGCTAAAAGAACTGCCAGCATTGCGAGGCAAGGCCTCACACATGTACGGCTGTAAGCCTTCTACACCAAACGAAGCTTCTGCCTCCCTGGCGTCCTCTTCCAGATCATCTTCGTCCCCATTTTTTCTCCCTTTAAATAAAAAATGTATGACAGAGGAGACTTATCCACGACCTCCGACACAAAACTCTCCTCCTCTTACATATTTCTGCTGTCCATGGCGTTCCTTGACAGTGTTGTGACAATCACACTTAGTGTATAGGGATTGCTGAAGAGTCAATGAGTCGATGCAATCAACTACCGGTAGTTTTCCTTAGAAAACTTTGAATCAATTTGACTGTATGATCTGGTGAACTGTAAAGTGCCTTGAGATGACATGTGTTGTTAATTGGAGCTATATAAATAAACAGAAGTGAATTGAATTAATAATCTAGATGGACTGTATACAATAAAGTTCTATGGCTAATACACTGAGTGTATTTGTAATTCTCAACAAATGTTTTTGCCAGGTTACCCTCTGTGAAATTCAAGTCAGCCAGGTAATTTTGAAGCTTCATATACAAAAATAACTTTGAGCTTGTAAAGGCTATCATGCTATACCTTGAGCAGAATCATACAAAACTTTTTATTTTGCTCAATGCATCTTTGAGTAATCATACATTTTTCTCTCGGGGGCAGCAACCCTTCCCAAACCTGAAAAACTGATTAGCAAAGACAGGTCTAAGTAGAGCTGTTATTATACACCGCCTCAAGGAAGCACCTATATTGAATGCGGCATGTAAACAGCAAATCCATGTCCTCTGATTGTGACCAAGGAGTTTTGAGGCAGGGCAAGATCATTTTTACTCGGCTTATAGGAAGTGGCCTTTTTCGGACAGCACAGTGACAGCAACCTTTTCTCTTTTTTAATGTTGTCTTAAATGGCAGCAATGGATATTCTCTGGCTCCATCTGAATTCATCAGTTTATTGATCCTGCGTCTCCTTTTACCTTCCATGACAATAACAGTAAGAACACTACTGTGCGAAAGAACGGAACTCTGGACTGCTGTGCCATATCCAGAAAGGCTTCAACTTAATGTCATAATGCGACAGAAATACAGATGAATTATGATTGTCAAAACTGATTTTAAAAACAAGCTAGGCAAATGTAAATAGCTGAAGAACACTTCTAAAAAAACCCAAAACATATGGTGTGCACATTTGCATGTCGCATATAGTACTCAAGAAAATAATGTATTTTTGTTCAACTCTGTGGGGTGGGCTATGCTTACACATTTTTTTTATTCAAAGGACTGTGGGTAGAAATATAGCTTCAATGCACCATGTAGGAACATTTGAAGGTCCCTATGCTAAATGAGGGGGGCATTCTGCTTCCTTTTCCTAGCTCCTTCTTTACTGCAAGCATTATTAAGACAGCAATTATCATGGTGACAGCTTGTGTACTCTCGGATTGCACTATTCCGATAAACCCATACACTATGTTCAGCCCTCCCTGAGACGAGTATACAGCCCCCACACAGGGAGAGGGATTATCACAAAGAAGAAAAATATCTTTATTTCAAGTTGGGGGGGTGGGGGGGAGAGAACAACAAATAATTAGTAGGTTGATCTTTTGTTTGTGAGGATACATTTTTTTTTAATCTGGAAATTTGTTATAGCTGTTCATCACCTGTAAGATATATCTACTCATAACTGATTAACTATCTCTCTGTGAGACCACTAGTCGCAAACATTTAGTGTTATATTTTCATTGTTTGAGAAACCAGACTGCTTTACTAGCAAGTTTCACAGCTTGAATTTGTTGCCTTTTAAATAGTCATCCCAGAGGGGAGGACTGACATAAAAGCTAATTTTTGAAAGTAATGCATTTTTCTTTTATTAAAACATAAGGGAGAAAAAAGCATCAATCAGGTTTGACCAGTTTGAATCTAATCTCTAATCAGAAATTTTATTTTTTTTAGCTATTACCAGTCCAACATATAATCCATAAATGCATACTCTGTATTGCCAAAGACAATATTTCAAACATAAGCATGATATATAGTACCTTTCATGTAGACAAACTGAAAATCCTTATCAAGATGGTGTATGTAGAGGTTTGCATAAATTAAGGAAATGCTGGCATACAGCCTGAAACTATTTTTAAGCTTAACTTTTTTCCACTCCATATTAGAAATGTAACACTGACTTTTCAATGTTTTCTCCATCCCATCTCTTTTTTAGGGTGATGTTGACCGAACCAGAAAGGCATTTCGAATTTTGCACCAAGCTGTATAATAATCATAAGGAATCTTAACTTCAAAGTGTGAAATGTTTTTTTGTTTTTTTTTCGTGCCTCTAATACATTCGTTGTAAAAGTTAAAAATGGCCTGTACATTGTTTTGTACAATAGGGACATTTGCATGAATGGACATGTGTTAATAACTTGTAAAAGTTTTCCTTCCTGTTTTGTATAAACTACAAACTGAAAAACAAAATCCTTCAAAGACTTTTTGTCACAATCTTTAATTAAAGTACCTAAATTACTTGTGTGCATTTTTTTCTGTATATCAGACACTAACCATAAAGCACCATTGGGTTTAATCATCCTCTATTTTAAACATTTGTGATTTATAACTTTGTAGATGATGTACATCTTTTAATTGATGGCTTAATGATGAGTAAATATCAGACTGGAGTTCAAAGGCTAGTTAAGATAGGCACAAAAAATATATATGCTTAAAGAATTTTATTTAGAAAATATTCCAAGTCCTATTCAGGGTTTTTGCTCCTAATCTTGACGGCCCAAAGTCCATAAAGCCATTTTAGGTTATTTCTCAAGAGGAGCATAATTTAGCAACTTCTCAATGAGATCCACGTGAGACAGGAGCATCCTTCGACAACAATACCGCTTCAGGCCCAGGGCATCAAGGGCATCACTACAAAGGAAAGAGGGGAAATTACATCAGTGACACCTAATAAATATGGAGAGTAAATCAAACATCTCATATCACATTGTATTTATTCCAACAAATTGTGCCGAACAAAAATAATATAATTCAAAGATGTATTGCAGATAGAAATACATCGAAATCTTACCCTTCTGTGTATTCTGCTTGAAGTAAGCCGAGGTAAGCTTCCCATTTGTTGCCCACAATCTTCCCACAAGTGAAGCACCTCACCGGGATAATCATTGTTGATTGCCTGCAGAGGATCAACATCACGCTATTCATACGAGTACGTAACGGTGGACAACATCAATACATTTAGCTGAAAGAGCATTCACAAAATAGGTGGGTTAATGTTTCTTGTTCACCATGATAAAAGGAACAGTGAGGATAAACATTTGGAAAATATTTATTCATGTAAGAATTAACAGGGTAACATCTGTGTAGAATTTTAAAGGACACCTTCTGTACTTTGAGAGAAAAAAACCTTCTTGGCAACAACCAGGTATGTTCCCAATCAATATCTGAATAAAGATTATTCCAAAAGAAGATTGATGCAGGTTTGCTAATAGTATTCCTCTGGATGATTTCTCTGTGTTTATTTCCAGTTTTAATGCTAAGGAACGGATCTGATTTACCATAAATAACTCTGGAAATCGGGGATATTGGACATGGACGCTACCTGAGGTTGAAATAAGACATTTCAAACCTGCCGGAAACGCAAATTCTTTAGGCGTCACAGAGAAGTTATATTTATAAAGAAATTCACCATAATTAAACAGTTGACTATTCTGATTAAATAATTGTTTTACAAATAGATTATCCACCCAGTTCATAAGAAATAGGGATTTATGCTTGAAACATATATTTTGGTTACTCCAAATACAGCAGTTATGAGGGGAAAGGTTACGTTTATAAGCTAATGTCCAGGATAAAGGTTGTTTATGGAAGCCAGATAATTTAACAGGGACCTTTTCTAACTTGTAGTTACATCTTAATAAAAAGACTAGGCCTTCCAAGGATTTAAAGACTTGTTTAGGAATCCAATGCCACATTGAGTTTTTAAATATCATTAAATCCACCAAACTTTGAAGGTAGAATGCAGGGTATTGAATTACAGAACGTTGAAACCACATTAACTTAACTCTATAGATCATAACATTTTTCTTAGTTTGATGAGGCCTTTTTCCCCGAGACGAATGAATCCCTGCGACTCAAAAAAAAGTGAAGCGACATCACAGCTTGTTGCTAACTTATCTTGCTAACAGCAGCTACACCTGCAGTAACAATACGTTAAATTTACATAGCTAGGGTTTTAAATTCCTCCTGGAATCCCCCCCACCAGCCCTCCAAAAAAAAAAAAATAATAATGTTTTGAAGGTTTCATGAAATAATTTATACTGGTAAAGCTTCATCCATTGAGCTAAGGTTAGCATCACCACGAGCACATCTTTTGTAACATTGCCGTATGGTATCAATTACTTGAAAAACAAGTCTTTCCACGGCCAATTTACACGGACAAACTTGCAACTCACCGTCACCAAAAGTGACCCGTATTATAACCAGGAATCGCTAATGGAATATGTCACCCGGAGAAAGCTAGCTCTCCTCTCGTTACCACCTGGATGGATGGATGGACGGTCGACGAACAACTTCCGGTTCAGATTCTTCCAAAATAAAAGAGGGAATGTTCATCAGTAACGAAAACCGGAGAGATTTCCACAGTAATGAGAAATGTAAATCTGTTTTCAATGTAATTTTTAATTATTTATTTTTTTTGTGCGAACTATAAATGTATTTACCCAAACTAGCTAATTACATTCTTATGTGTATATTTTACATTTTCATTTTATCCTTTTTTTTTTTAATAGTGATCTTTTCTTATTGAGTTTCAGCTTCATAACACGTGATTACTAGCTGTAATCACGTGTAATGCAGCTATCAAAGTGCTCCACTTTTAAATTCTTTCAAAGTTTGATCCCACCCTATATGAGACAAGCGTAAGCATTTCAGAAATTCAGGGTTGTCAACTCTCACCCATTGGGAGTGAGACTCACCCATCTCAGTGTCTTCACACGCTCTCACTCTATATTCCCAATGTCTCACACTAGAAAATGACAGACATTAAAACTCAACTCTGTTCCACTTATTTAAGTATAAAAATACCATGGTGATCAAAATCCATTCTGCGTTGATTTTGGAGGCTACCTCAAAATTACCATTGGCATTAATTCAAGCCAATGCTTTCAATATTTTTATGCCCCCACTTACTAACTTAACAACACAAGATGTTAATCCGCATCCAGTTGCATCCATGGCTGAGAAGAGATCAAACAAAGCGGTGCCCAGCAAAAGGTGTTTTTTGTAGCCCAGTGTAACTTTTGATTTTTACCACATTTTAAATACTTCATCTATTTTCTTAACTCAATCCAACCCAACATGAACTAGAAGTCCTTACAGAAGATGAAGAAAAAAGCAATGACCACTTTGTCTGGTTCACTGTCTTTAATAATGTTGGTTTTAGAAGTCTTTTCTTTTACACTTCGATGGTTAAAAGCAGAGGGGAGTGTGCATAAGGAAGATATGTCTAAAAATATAAAAAATATATAGATCATATCCATCATTATCATCATCACAGTCACCTTGATAAATATCATCACTATTATAGCCATCAGTAACATCATACATTATTACATCATCTATGTAATTTTATATGCTACAGCACATATGCTAAATGAGGACTCCTACCTGAATTATTGCATTTATACGCTTTTGAAATTATGAAAATAGGAATATTCTTTTCTAGTTTTTTTTTTAAATACACTGTATTATACAATGTAAAGTGTCATTTGTTTTTTGTTTTTTTTGGTTTTTTTTCGGCACACTATTTTTTTGATCGTAGTAGGGAAGTTGTGGCGAGTGTTGAATGTGTATAGATAACTTTTTGGTCTAAACAGTTTAATATTTGTTTTAACTAAACACTAAAAGTGTGTGTGTAAGAACTAACCTTCTACCTACAGGTCAGAGTCAACTAGATGAGTTATACGATGCAAGCAGAAATTTCTGTGAACAGCTGTACATATGAGTTTAAGCAGTAAAAAATGTACGTTTTTTTCCTCCCCCCTTTTAAATGAATGACAGCAAATATACACATTGCTTTCATGCTCCTGTAAATATATAATGTTTTTATATCATTAATGTTGTTTGTGCATCCGAGAACGTGAGAAGAGCAGAGGAAAAATAAAAACAACTCTGATATTTTGACAGTAGCCTTTTGGCCCATTGTAACCCTTATGTAATATAGTGTCAGAAGTTCGATGTAAACAGAGGTAAATATCAGAACTGTTTGTGTTGACACATGTGAAAGGTTATAGATTTTTTTAGATTATTTGACAAGATCCAAAACCCTTTGTATTTCCTTTTTTCATCCGTGTCATGCTGGTATGTTCTAATGTTTGCTAGCTTGGAATTAAAAAAAATCCCAGCCCATTAAGATCATGAATTCCAAAAGTGAATTAGCCAAAATATATGGGTTTGATTTTAATTAAAACCGAATAATGTCTTTATCTCGTATTATTTTGCCTCCCACATACTGCTGTTAAATGCATTTTGCTTGTTTTAAGTCTTTATGCAGTAGTCTTCTGTTTCCAAACCCATAATCGCTCATCAAAGGTCACTCTTCGTTAGATCACAGACCCATGCCTATTCTTCTTTATTCTGAAACACTAAGGCGTTTCCTTGGCCAAAATATGCAGCTCACTCACATTAAAAAGCTTTATCCTCCTTCCACTAACTCATTTACTCCAATAAGGAAATAAAAACTTAAAACTCAGGGTCCTGGGACATAATTGATACAGAGAATACATTTTTTCAGGACTTTTAAGCAAAATAAACTAAGAATTAATAAACAATGAAACTCTATGCCCATTTTTTGTACAAGCTGCAAAAAGTATTAGATTAAATTACATTTAGATGATTCTGGAGGTTATGCTATGCTGTGCATTTTTTAATGTTCTAAATACATTTGATATGCAGTATTGTAGCAACTTCATGCGTACATCTATTATAATTATGTTCCATATAAAGCCTTGATCAAACATTACATAGGTTGATGCATTACACATTAAAGCAGGCCAAAAGAAAAATCTGAACAGGACAACAAAAGATAAAAAAAAGCACAGACTGCTGTGTCTCCCCATTGCTGATCAAACCAAAAAAAGTCTGTGAACCAGTCAACAATATTCTTATTTTAGATTGGTTTTAATTTCTCCTTGCCAGCAGCAGTGCTCCCAGCAAAATAGCTCCGGCAGCGATAACGGCACCACCAATAAGAAAGGGTTTCAGGTGTTCCAGAGAGTCTCTACCAGAGGCCTTGTCACCTGCTGCTGCTGCTGCTGCTGACTCAGCATCTGCTGCCCCATCCTGGGATGGAGGTTGATTCTCGGGCTCAGGGGCCGCAGGGGCCGGGTCCGCCTTGCGCGGTGGTGCTGGCTCCTTCTTCTCTGCTTTGGATGTGGCCTTGGGCGCTGAAGCCCCAGCCTTGGCTTTGGCCTCCATGTATTCAGGAACACAGGTGTGGTCTGGTCAGAAATAGTCTTTAGAAGGTGTTGCTATACCGATGAGAAACAGCAAACAGACAAATTAACCTTCTAGATTGCCCCCTGTTACCATTATATGTGCTCTGCTGTGAACTGAGAATGAAAGGCCCTGAAAGCAAAGTATAACGTGGTGAAGCCTGAAATATGACCTTGGGGGGGAAAAAATGGCATTGATGGAAGTACCCTATTTCCCATAAGAACAGGAAAATGTTTATTAAGGTCACAGCTGCGGTGACATAACCTCCCACTGTAGAAATAATCACAATCACAGCAGCTTCCTGTGTTAAGCTTTTTCTTTTCTTTTTTCTTTAGTTAAAAGGATCAACCATGTAATTCAGTAATGGATGCAGGAGTAATACTGCTAAAATTCTTTTCACTTTTTTGAACCTTTTTGTTGTTGATTCTGAAAAAGGAACAGGTAGATGCAAACGTAAAACGTTTCATATATTTGTCTGCCTTGTCCACGGTCTGACTGCAAAACCTCATGAGTCATATGTGCTATAAATGGATGCCAAGATGGAGGAGAGATTGCAGCAGTTTAAGAAATAAATAAAAAATGAAACGAGGTATATAAAAAGATATAAATATGGTTAAGAGAGAATGCATCACAGCAGTTTGAATGACAAAAAATGCAAGCTGCAGCATCCTAACAAAAATGTTTGAATCCAGCTGTGTTTCGTTTTAGGATAAAAAAGATTGCTGCTTACCTTACAAACAGTTGGGTAGAAATTATCTGAATAATTGGACGGAGGAGAAGGAACAGCTTTGGAAGTGAAGATGTCCTTAGTATAGGAAAATGAGCGACAGCAGAGAGATGGAGGACACTGAGAGCAGGAGGGAGGGGAACAAGAAGAGAGCAGGATAGACTGGGATGTACCATCTGCTTGCTTGAAAAAAAGGGGGGGAGTACATGGATTTTCTCACAAAAACTTTCTGGCAATATGGAGCAAATTAAAATATGGAGAAAATTAAATAAAGTTATATATCTGTCAAAATTGTAAATAATCAAAGCAGCAACAGTATATTTTCTATACTGGGTAAATGTACACTTATCATTAATGATAACTAACAATATTATGTATATATATATATATGTATATATACACACGCACACACACACACACATAACTATATATACATATATATATATATATATATATATATATATATATATATATATATATATATATATATATATATATATATATATGTATGTATGTGTATAATATACACATACATGTATATGTACATATATATAAATATATATACACACATATATATAAATATTAATATATATATACACACACACACATATATGTATATATGTATATATATATGTATATATATATATATATGTGTGTGTGTGTGTGTGTTTGTGTGTGTATATATCCCCATACATATACACATACACACACATATATATGTATGTAAATTGTACAATTGTATGTAATTGTAAGATTGTGTTGTAATTTGTTGGCTATTATTTTCTTATGGGTGAACTGATAAGTAATCTCTCTATTCTGTTCAGACATTTTGGTGTAATTGTTTATTTTTTGTTTGTTTGTTATTTATTCACCCAAGCCCGATGCAACCCATCAGGTGCAAGAAAATGTTTTGCCTAGACCTGGGGTTTATAGCAATTTTCACATAACAACAACTAATATACATTTCCCAAAAGGTAATAAAAAAAAACATTTCTGAGATTAATGTAGGGTTATTTTTCATTTATTTTAACGTAATTGTTCGTTTTATGTCCTCCAAGTATGCCTGCATCGCTATGTCGTCCCTATGGCAACGAGAAAAAACGCCAGAAAACACTGCGATAGATCGTGCGCATGCGCATAACTTTGAGGGGTTGTTCCACTATGCTGTTGTTTCTGCTAAAAATTTTTAACATTTTTTGAATAGTTGTCTCTAGGAAAGACATTTTTCTCTGACAGAGACAAAAAAGCAAACAAATAATTGACGCCGTGTCGGATCACCGGCGGCTCTTCTTTGATGACGTCAGAGAGGGGAGCGGCAACCTGTGAGCTCACAGTGAACCAGCTGGCGGCTCCATGGATCCACAAACCACTGGTGGCGCCATTTCTCCGCAAGATTCCCAAAGTGGCCACAGCATACTGTGTACAAAGCCATTAGAAGAACGTAAAAGGAGCCATTCACGGCGTTTGCGCAGGAAGCGGAATAGCGAGTTATGGCGCATATTTCGATGGGAAACGTCTCCTGGGATGGGCTTAATTATCGGAATAAGGGTGCCCGCGTTTAGTCCGCGGTAGGATTCGGGAGTTGTCCGGCTGATGGCACACTAAACCAGTAAACTACACCGTAAAACCCCGGAGAAGAACTCATCCTGGTCATAAAATCGCAAAGGGATTTTCTATCTCCCATCAGGAGGAATCATCACGCAGCGTCCTGACGAAAGGGAATGGAAAACGATGTAAGGAGCCGCAGTGGAAGACGTGTTGCAGATCAGGTGGAGAACAGAGCTGTCAGCTTCTAGCGCTTTGGACACCACCGACTAATTAATCTGGCTGCTCGATGGTATGTGTCGGCTTTACCTGACAGCCGGCAGATAGCAGAGGACTCTCCGGAGCTTTAATGCGTTAGGAGTCCATTCATGTCTCGGTTGTTGCAATGACGTCTGAATGGTTTTCTTACATCGAGCGCTGAGACATTTCGACATTAATCCGCCCGATCGGTGATCCCGTGTCGGGAAGAGACTGACGGAGGGATATGGGAAAGGGAGCGGAACCGATGCAGTGGGTCTCTGCTAGGCATCGTCAAAACACAGGTGAGCAGCAGCAAAGATGACTTTGATTGGTGATCCGCTCCATGGCTGTTTGAGGCACATTTCTGTGCACATCTGGATGCTTTGCTGATTGGATCAGAATAAACACCGTTTCGCACTAATCAACTTGTTGGATTTGCATTGTGAGGGCTCGCCAGTGTTCCCCAGAGCTGCAGCTTTTTGTTAGATTTTGCAAGTTGTAGTAGACGCTGACACATCGGCTAAACAACTTTTGCTTTTACCATTTTAAAAGTTATCTTTTAGTATTCATTCTTTAAGTCTGTCCAGAAATGCTCCCCCTTTATCTGATCCTACTGAAAAAACTGAAAGAATATTTTAGAATATTTTATTTCAGTTTAATATAGGAAAAAGGTCAGAAATCTGAGATTAAAGTCAGAATTCTGAGAAAAAGGTCGAATTCTGGGAAAAAGGTCAGAAATCTGAAATTAAAGCCAGAAATCTGAGATTAAAGTCAGAAATCTGAGGTTAAAGTCAGAAATCTGAGAAAAAAAGTCAGAAGTCTGAGATTAAAGTCAGAATTCTGAGAAAAAAAAGTCAAAAATCTGAGAAAAAAAGTCAGAAATCTGAGAAAAAAAGTCAAAAATCTGATATTAAAGTCAGAAGTCTGAGATTAAAGTCAGAAATTTGAGAAAAAGTCAGAAATTTTAGAAAAAAAGTCAGAAATTTGAGATTAAATTCTGCCATTTTTCCCCAATATTAAACTGAAATAAAATTTAAAAATCAGTTAACTTTTTTATTTTTTCATTGGCCATAATCCTCTTCCATATATCTCTGCAGGGATGCAGGTTTGAATTTGCTAAACTAGATGAAAGTAAAATAAATAAACTTTGCTGGTTTAATGATGATTATCTTGTAGGTGCTTTATTTTTTGTTTAATTTAAAAAATATATATATGCCTTTTAGGAAGCAAGCAATGCTTTTTTTTTTAACTGTTAAAATTCTTTGAATAAAAACAAAAAAACTGGAGCTATCCTTTTTGATCCCAAAGTAACCCAGATATTTGCCCCTGCTAGAGATTCTGGATTTGTCCATCTTTTAATTAATTATGTTTACTCGGGTCTGCATGAATCTGCATCAACCTCAATATACAGTCAGCATAAAGAGTCCTGGTAATATTTTGGTTGTGAAAACATGCTTTTGGTGTAATTTTGCACCCTCATTGGCATACAAATTAAGCACACTATTTGCATGTTATCAGTGAAAGGTTGGGTGCAAAAATGTTGGTCATTGTTACTCATTACTCTTAGTCTGGGATGTGACCTTACCCAGGTAGAACTGATGTCAGCAGCTCTATCCAGACCATGGGTGTTATAGCTTTGGCACATTGTGCACTTAATATTTTTTTATTAGTGGAAATGAAAATAAATCATGAAATAATTTTTTTTTCATCAAGAAAGTTATTATACAGTACTAAATACATTAATAGTGCATACAAAATCTGCATCATCATCTGTGCAGTGCAGAATCATGATTTGTCTTTAGTTTTGTGTCAGTCAGTCATATGACTTAAAAGATTTTTGGGGGGACAACAAATTTGAAGAGGGCGGACAGATAAAAATGCGTTAAAATTGGACAGTTATAGTTTGTTTACAATTGACCCTTCAGTCTCACAGACTGGTGTGTTTATCAGGTAATATTTGATCTAGGTTACTGTTGATGCCCCCATCGGAGTCTTCTGAAGTTTCTCACAATGCAAGTTGGGCTAAATTGTGTTTAATGCACTGGAAGAATCAAAGAGCTTGATCCTCTCAGTGCTGTCTACCCTGTCTAAATAATAGTGGGTTTGTTTAAGCAGGTGTATGATGGTATCTTCAACTCCACTGCAATAAGCAAACTACAGTGAGTCCTGATTACTGCTTGTTTGCTGAGGTGAATAGATAGATACCTCTCTAGGACCTTCACAATGTTAGGGCAACAGGTGCAGAGTCATTGAGTACTGCTGAATGAGATTTCTTTGGTACTGGAAAAAGGCAGAAGGTCTTCCACATCACTGGAACTGTCTCCTGGGTCAAGCTATGGTTGAAGATGTAGTACCGAATCCAACAGAGCTGCTCTACATAGACCTTCAACAGTTTTTGGTCAACAGAAGGTGAGATGTTGCTTAAACTGTGGTCAGGAGAGAAGGATGCCAAGCTTGATCCTAAACTAAACCAATTGGAGAATGTATGCACTTCGTTGGCTCTGTCCAGATTCCCATCTGCCTGACCCTCCCTCTGCTTGGAGCCTGTGATCTTCATCCCTGACCACATATATCTGATGTTGTTCTGCTGGACCTCCAGTCTCTTCCTGCAACCCTCCCTGCTTTAGTGTTATTTTCATCTTGATCTAGTCTCTTATGAGGCGGAACCTCCTTAGACAAATAGAGATGTTGACTGTATGCAATGATCTGGATTTCCAGTTGCTAACCTGAAAATGGCTAGCAAATCAGAATTAACAAAATTGCATGTAAAATCTAGACTTTTTAAAATGTTTTATCATCTGTCTCAATAGATAGACAGAAACATGCATGATATAGCTGTCTGCAAAAGGGAGACAGGTACTACCTGTAACAGTTTTTCATCAGACTGGTTCAAGAAAAATACTCACTGAACATTATATCCCAATATTTCAGGGCATGTAGTGCAGAAACGATAAACGTCTCACTGAAAACCGTTAAATGGTCACTGGTGTTTGGGCTGTGTACCTTTCACTGCATACATTCAGAGCCTCGTTACACAAGCACTTCTCTAAAAGTCCAACTTATCTCTAACCGAAAAGCACACTTCACAACAACACCTTAACCCAGCAGCTAACTGTGCTGCTAAACACATCAGATAACACATCTGGTCATATTTTGCACTGTTATAGTAACAATTTCCTTGTAACTTTCAGTTTGCGGACTAAATATTTGATTTATTATTGATTTCACTTTTTAAATCCAATTCTTATTAAAATATGGTTTGCTGATGTCTGTCAGACTTTACATTGTTGTGTGGTTTACACTGGAAGCAACATTAGTCAAAGTCATCTTGCACTGTTGCATCATAAGAAAGCTATGGCTGCAACTAACGATTAATCTGTTGGTTATTTTTTCATTTAATAATTGGATAGCAAAAGGTTCCTTATATAAGATTGTTCGCAGAATTTAACCAGGTGAAACTGAAAAGTTTCCACTCGAGGAGTTTTGGATGAAACATATTGGCAGAAGAAAATGTTTATATATATCGTTTACAATACGATTTTGATGTATTTACTGCTCTAACTGGGTCCCTCTGTCAACTAAAGGCATGTTTTTAAGTCTGTATACTTCATTTAACGATTAATCGATTACTAAATTAGTTGATGATTATTCCAATGATCGATTAATCTGCTTAATTGTTTCAGCCCTAAATACCTTTTATTTATCAAATTAATTCAAAGTATGACTTAATTTCTGCATCTGCTTGGGGCTTTCTTTAAATACCCTGAAAGCCCTGATGCCTTGTTGCTTTTCCTTAATTTAATCTGTTGTAACTGGAGCCCAAGCCTGAGTTTTTGTCTTCTCATCTAACTTAAGATTGATCCTGCTCAAAAGATGCGTTAACTGAGAGTAGATGTCTATAAGGTGTGTATCAGTAAAGTGGGTATAATATTTTTTTTTTAGACGAGGTCAGAAAGGACAGGTTTTGGGTAACTAAATAGAACTATTACATCGCAGCTGATTGCATTAGCTGTAATTGGCTGTGCTGCAATCAGTGCTTTAAACAGCGGTTATTTAAAATTTCAATAAATTAAATTGTAAATTACAATATTTGTACTAAGATCAGTTTTCCCGTCAGTCATTGCTTTATAGGTTTTCTAGCAGGATTTTTTCTATATCTTAAATGGCTTTGATGGGAATATCCTATGCCTTAGGTTGTTTATGATGAGGGGATTGTGCTAATATGAAGTCAAAATTCTGCCAAAAGTGAACACTGATTATAAATAATGATACGAGCTGTTTTATTTTACTTAAACATTCATTTAAAAATGCAATTGATTACATTATTATTTACAACAGGTTAATATCTCTATATAATTAAGCATTTAAAATTAGTTGCTGAAAAATCTCAATCTTATTAAAATTACTTCTTCTTTTTTTTTTTATAAAGTTGGATATGTTTTCAAGTAATTTGCCGTTGGTAACCATGATGCCCTGCGCTGCTTAAGGTAAACATTAAACATAAAAGTAAACATTCCTTAAGCTGTAAACAGCTTAAGGAGAGCACAGGAGGTTGTCCTCACATGTAGGACACACTCAGAACTTGATTGGAAGTTGTCTTTGTCTCCCTCCTAGCAGCTTTCCTGACTGGTTTTCAGATCTGTGTTTTCATTAGTTTTGGAAAAGGTCAGAATTGTTTTGTTTCTTTCCTGTTTCCATATTTTCTTTCTACTTTGCTCTCTGTACTCATCCATCATGCATTTATAAATAATACTGTGGACCTAAGAAGGTTTTCTAACACATTGTGCATTCATTTTTTTGGGGGGACATCTTTGCCAACTTTGATTTGAGATCGAAAACTCCATTGACTTGGACATTTTTAATAACTGTGTTATATATACCTTATTAACCTAAAGTTAATTTACACCATACCTCTAAACTGACTCTCTAACATTAAAAATAGGGATCTACCACATTATGACCAGCCTGTTGGTCCTCAGGTTAGTAAATATACAAAAAACTGTCCTAATTCGGTAACATAAGAAAACAAACACAAAACCAAGTCAATCAACCTCTCAACACTTGAACAAAGAAAAATCATCAAATTAAACTTTGCTATAAAATCCTTTAAATACTTCCCAAATGGGTCATGTATTTAATGCACTTCTACCACACCCCCTGGAATTATACTGCCCCTCTGCTTTGGGAACCACTGGGCTGGAGGGACAAAGTTGTTTTTAAAGGTTGTTTGGAGACTCGCCTTTAGTTGCTAATTGGCAGTCAGCTTACTAAGAAAAGGCTACTTCAGTTTTCCTACACTTAAAAAAAAAACATACTTTTCAATCTCCGATCTGATTTTTATTTTTTTTATGTCACACTGACTGCATAGAGAGGCTCCATCTAGGCAGGACGAGCAGATTTAAGCACCAGCACAGTGAAAACCCTGACTATGTACCCAGATAATGCAATATCAACTTGTTATAATTATGGTTCTCTTTACAAAAAATATAAACATGTTATTTTAGTAAATAACACACTTGAGAATAACAAAAGTTGTGTTTAGTTACTTTACATTTCCGTCAAAGTGTATTAAGAAAATTAAACATTTATATAATTTATGAAAATATTTGTTTGTTTTTTTTTCATTTGAGGTAGATAAATATTCCTCAGTGTTAACTGTTTTTTTAATCCTGCATTTACAAGAATAAGATGCTAACTTTTTCACTCCAGCTCTTTAGGAGAGAGGGAGTAGCAACTAGTGAGCTGATCCAAGCATTTGAGCTAGAAGTGTGCACTTTTCCATGCAACAGTAAAGTGTTGCATCATAGACATTAGACAAGAGCATTTAAGTTCATGTAAACAATAAAACCCTGGAACCAAACATGTATGTGTGTCTAGTTAGTGCTAATCTAAATAAAATTCTCTTTTTTTGCAAAATCACACAACACTAGAGCAAATATTGTAAAACCTTAGTGTTTTTGCTCAGGGTTGTCATAGTAAGAGAATGCCAAGCCATGCACAAAGCAAACTAGTCATTGTTTGTGTAGTTTTTACAATGCTTTGACAATGCATCTTTTTCTCAAACTGCTGTATATCTTTTTATCACAATTCATAAGTTGCAGCTATCTGCGGGCATCTGCATCAAGATATATACCTTAACTATGAAAAATTCAGCACACTGCTGAAAACCTGTGCCTGCTGTAAAATGTTGCATGGGGGGAAAAAAGAAGCTACATTTTTATTTATTTTCCTCTGTATTTTATACAATCGCAAATAATTTCCTTCATGTTTGTGGGCAGTGAGGCACAGACTGGATGGCAGACCACATATGTTACCATCCCGACGCTCACACGGACACACGCAAACACAACATTCATGCATGCCATGCAATCTCCACTGCGCATACTATCACATCGACTGAAGGAAGAGAAAATGGAGTGGGAAGAGGTGAAAGGGATTGAGTGGGTGGTAGTGGGAGAAAAAGATGGAGAAAGGCAGAGGGAGAGTAGGAGTGAGTGGCACATGGCTTTCAATCTAAAAAAAGATGAGCAGTACGCAACCAAAACCCGAATCTGGATTAGCTTGATAAGGAAGAGGAGGGGGTTGGGGGAAGGCTAGAGGGGGAAAGTGTAGGTTTTCTCTGCACCAAAAATGATGCTGATGCACATGCTCACTTTCATACTCACAAATGTCCTCTCTAATATTGAATACTGAATGAGTGTGTGGGTAGGAGCGAGCGTGAGGATGGGAAGAAGGAAGATGTGAAAGAAAGAAAGAGGGTGAGATGTAGATGGGAGAGGGTGAGATTCTTTAGGATGGACAGAAAGCTGCTGTACTGTGACACAATGGGGAGGGATGGGATAATTAGAGACGGCAGCAACAGAAGAGCGAACATTGTGACAAATGCCGGAGAGAATCTTGATCTGAGCAGTGGAAACTCTGACCCAGGCACAAAGCAGACAGACTTGGAGCAGATGGATGGATGGCAGCGAGCAGAGGAGATAGAGATTTGGGACAGCTCTGTGCTCACACAGTCATGCCAAACCAACATAACTTTAACATTTCACTGCAGAGTGTCTTAGTGGCCTGTCTGCCCAGCACTCGACAACATGCCAGGCCATTTTCAGCCTGTCTTTACAGTCTTGAGGAAATGTTCGAGTTGCCTCGTACCGGTACTTTATTACTATAAGACAAAATAGTTGCAAAACAGAGTAACAACATCGTTTCATGGAATATATTTTGAGGTGGAAATGTTTATCAGCAGGAGATTAGAATTGCGTTATTTTCTGTGGCTGGTGATCATCGGGTCAAATACTGAGAAACTGGTGTTTCGTTTCCTCTTTCATCAACTGACAGGATTTGCTTTGCCGCATCAACGAGGATGCATAACGGGACATGCTTTGATGCATGAATGGGGATTACCTTGTAATATTGTCATTTTCTGTTGGATTAAGAACTGCCTGAACTTTGAGTGTTACGGCATAATATAAAATATTGAAATCAGCAGGTCAGGGTTAAAGGGAAAACTGAAAAATTGTATCGGCAAGGAAATGCATGATCAGCTCATCCCAGCCATGT